CTAAGCTTAGCTAATGAGCGCTCCACGGACATGACTGTATTAGTAAACAATGACTAACATGTATGCTTTTTTGTTCTGTTCGCTCTGCAGATTAGGGTAAACAGAAACCAGTGGGCAAGCGACCACCTTTGCGACTTTCAAACATCATTCCTCTCCTCTAAGTCTCAGACAGGCTGTTGGCATCCTGAAACGAATTCCAACAGATAGCGGTCACTCTGCTATCGTAAAGAATGTCTGGAGGCAGTCTCCGATGTTGATCCATACTTATAGTCCACTCCCTTATGAACCTTCCGTGCTTCGTCAAGGTTAACCTAATTATGCCAGACAGTGAGTGACTACTCGCACTATGTTGTGTTAGTGACGGTGGCATGAGAGACTTCAGTACTGTCGCTGCAGATAGGGCCTAACCCTCAAACCAAGCTGTTGGTGGTGTGTCTTCCCATACCATTTTTTTTTTTGAAAACACCAATATTATTTTGGTGCGTCCTGCGTCTAACGTAGACTCGCCAAGGATGTCTCATCTGTTTCCTGGGGAGCGGTAGTATGTCAGATGCTCACCATGTATCTTTTAGAAACTGCCTGGTCAGCTCTGCAGCATCTGTATCTGACCTTACGTTCCGTCGTCTGTGATTCCCATGGTTACGCTGAAAGCTAATAAGTCCACTGAAAAAAATTTTACGAATGAACAAACACATTTCACGGAAAGGCCCAATGGCTATTTTTTTCTTTCTCAAGTCAGTTTGTTTCACAGATAGCACATAAAGTCGCAAGTAACGTCGGATAAGCCTTTGTTGGCGTTAGACGGACAGGGAGTAGAAGCAGAAAAAAAAGAAGTCTGCTAAGATGCCCCGGCACGTGGGTACGGAAAAAGGGTTAAAGGAAAAGAAGAACGACGACTATGAAACGTGAACGATTGACCGATTTGGCCTTGCAAGCTTTCAAATTTCGATGTATTATTCTCAGCGGTGTAAATAGTAAAGTGTTGCTCGTTGGGTGAAAATGGAACCATTACTGTGACGACCCGCAGCGACTGCAACGTAGAAGGCTGGCAAAGCTATTGGCGCCTGCACAAAACTTAGACTTTTGCCTTACCTGCACACGCTTTCAAATGAATGAGACATCAGGTGTAGCCACACTCGCAGCAGTAGCCTTTATAGTATTGCTTCCTGTGCTTTGTATGGAACAATATAGCGATGGTACAAATTTTAGTACATGTATGTAAAATGCATGTCTTGTAAAGTATATGTCTTTCCTGTATAAAAAAGTTCAGTGTTGTGCTCCGATCTAAAACCCCTAAATATAGGTATTCGCTTGCCCCTCCTGGTATATTCAGGCATTTTGTGAGTGGCATTTGTACCCTATTTATGCCTCGGAGCAGCACCGCTGTAAGCATGTAGGACTAGAGTTGACCAGAAACAATGTCATAACTGAGAGTGCTTAAGAAAGGAGGCTCAGTTTATAACAGTTTGTTCAAATATGCCAACAATCTTTTTAATTGCAGTCCCATTGATTATGCAGCAGATTGTTCGTTCAGCCTAGGAAGTTGCCATCTGAAACACTATGTACGAACAACATGGATCAAGCTGTTTTTAGACTTGCCACACAACCACCAGGATGCTATTTGCCGTCATGGATAAAGGGTCAAGTTTACTTTCTCGGACGTTTACGCACATCATTTTTACATATAGCTTTTTTAAGTACACGACTCGCACAACCTCCATGCTGTGCGTGGACCCCTTCGCGAAACACAGAAGACCATGCTGCGGAACTCCTGTTATTTCTAACACTATGGCGCAAAGGCTGATATCTCTCGGCTTAGTTTCTGGTGACAGGTTATGTCTCAAATGTTATATGGAGTGTCCAAATCTGAAAGAAGCGTCCGAGCTAGACGGCCACGCAGCAGCTCAAATGTCATCCGGGGAGGATGCTATGGATGCACCTTACAACCCAACAACAGAGGCCTCAGGAAACAGAAGGCGTCCCGCAAAGGACCGCGAGAGCCCTAAGCTATCCAAGTGCACAAATGCGGATTCAAGGAAACCTGTAAAGGTAAGACGTGCCAGGGATCAAAAGCAAGAGCCAGGAGCCCTCAGGACGATAGGCAGTCGTTCGAAGAGCCGCCAGCCGTGCATCAACTGCTAACTCGAATAATGGGGATGTTGACAGTATTTTTACCACTAAAGCAGCAAGTTGACGAGTTGGTAGAATTAAAAGAAACTGTGATGCACATTGAAAAATTGGTAAAGTTGATGTGGGATAGCTATGAAAAAGTACTGAAATAAAATGAAAGAACATGACAGCGACATCAGAGAAATAAAAAAGAAAATAAATGAACTAGAGCAAGAGCGAAAGACTGATGAAACTGCTCAAATAAAAAAAAAAAAAAAAAAAACTAAACAGGCGGAAGCAGTATGGACGAGTGAATAATCTCAAATTACACGAACTCATTGAAATACCAAATGAGGATCTGCTTGATAAACTGAACCCGATCGCTTTTAAAGTCGAAGCGCCAAGGTTGACAAATTATAACGTAGAGGCTGTTCATCGCGTCCCAAATAAGGCAAAAGAAGTGCCCGGGGTTATCGTGCGCTCTGTTAACGGAAACGAGCGAAATTTGTGGCTTCAGAACAAGCAGTAGTCAAGGCGCGAAGCAAGTGCAGATAATGTGTACCTGCAAGAGAACATGACTGCGTCAAACAGGAAACTCTGGATAAAGACCAAGTACCTTGGTTACAAGTTTGTGTGGCACCGAGAAGGAATTTCGTACGTAAGAAAACAAGATGGCGAAGGAATTATTCGAATCGAGCATGAAGGTGATCTCTCAAAAATTAGATAAAAATTGCCTAAAGTGAAAGTTGTGTTTCTTTGTTTTTTGAGCTCATGGCAAAATTTACGTGTCCCACGCCAGTAGGTCTAAATGAGCACGGTCTTTACAACAGTCTTATTTTAATAGGTGTTTTCATAAAAAGAAAGGGCAGTTTGCTGCGGTTCATTTTAATATAATAAGTCTAAGAAATAAGACCAATGGCAATAACGATTTTTTTACTCGCTTTGTTTACGTCTTGATGTAATAATGTTTACAGAATTATGGCTCACAGAAAGAGATCACGCGCCATATTTTGAAGGCTACAAATGTGAAAGCGTTGCAAGCACGCAAAAGCGATGTGCTGGCGTTGTGATTTATGTTAAAGGATCCATTAAACGAATTTAGGATCGGGGTAAATCACTTTAGATCGGTATTTTACTAATAGCACATTGTTCAATGGGTCAAAAGAAAAAAAGGTAGAAAATCAAAAGCCTGATTTTCAGAGCGAAAATTTGTAAACACAGCGGACTATTTCGTGCCTCCTCCCCTTCGTACCTTCTCCGATCGCCCTTTCACTGTGACACATCCGCGGTCCCAAAAGCGCGTCATCGGGTCCAAACGCACGTGACACGAAACCGGACCTCACTTAGTTCCTTCACCCCTCAGCTGACATTGTGGTGGAAGCTACGCGCTTGCCGGATCAATCAGCCGCCTCCCTTTCATCACCTGCCCTCATTATCTGCGCCTGGGTATGCGCGAAGGAGCGTGATCACGTTGCAAGTCTGGCTGGCCCCACGAGCTCGTAGCTTCTACAGCACTGTCAGCTTCGGGGTGAACGGGTTTGGGAACGCAACTTTTGTCTGAACTTTGAGCGACGGGCTAATCTTCTAGGGGGACAATGGCTCTGTCCGGGCACACAAACCAGATTCCGAGCAAAAGGGGCCTCCTCTTTTCGTCTTCTTGAACTGTTTGGTGGAATGCGCGATTTATGAGTTGAGGAGGAAAGCTAAACAGGAAGAAGTTGGAAAAGCGTTTCATGACCCCTTTAAAGGGCAACTCCGGCCAAAACTCAAAATTAATTAAATTACTGGTGAGCACCAAATAAACTATCTTCAGTGTGTAAAAGGATAAGCAGATTAGGAGAGGAATCGGATTTGCCAAAAGAGTCGTGCAAAAAACATGTCACTAAGTTCCGTGAGTGCGCCACCAGTGTCACGCACAAAATACCCTTGTCATGTGGTAAGGTGTACGTTGGCCAGACGGGGAGGTGCATTAATGATAGGGTCAGAGAGCATGCGTTGGCGATCAGGCAGTCCCCGTCTGGCCAATTAGCGGTCCACTGTGACCGTTGCGATTGCGGGCCCAACTCTGAAAAGTGCAGCCCCATCTTTGGTGACACCTGTGTCATGGGCCATTACAAAACAAAAACGGCAAGAGAAATTCACGAAGCCTTCCTGATTAGGTCCCACCACGACAATACTTGTATAAGCGCCCCCTCTTTGTCCTTGACTGATAAAGAATTCTACTATTTGAAGAACCAATGACGCTGGCGTTTGAGGGGGGTGTTTTTAGACCATATCTTTGGGTGTTCTGCCAAGTGTGCCCGCTTTTATATTTCATAATTTTTTTTTTAAATTCTTACATCCAAATAAACAATTTAGTTGAAAGTTACGCCGCGTCCTGTCTAGTTCTCCCTTCGCTTTTTGTCCCTGTTGTTTTGGCGTATTACACGATAATCGACTGCGCTGAACTTCGATGCGTAGTGACTGCTCCAAACTGCGCAGCAAAAATTAACGAAAATAGAAAGATAACTGTAATAGGAAGGACGCAATCCCTTCAAAGCTGACACGGAGGAAATACGCAGCAGGGAAACCGTTCCCAAAACCTTAAAACATATGCATGCGTCGCAAGTGCCTTGATTTTGACAAAAACGACAACAAAAAACGTGTAAAATCACAAATGATCCAGGACACATGATCATATAATAGGGAAAAAATTCTAAATTTGACAACGAATTTTTTTCGCTTCTGTTTTTGACATTTTAGAAACACCTGGCCGTCCACGCAAGTATCGCGGCGCTGCGGATCCCTTTAACCCAACTATTTCTGTTTTATTTTTCTCTCAGAGGTTACTTTCTATCAGGGTACGTGCACCAACCGGATTTTCCTTATAGAACAAACTGGGGTACCATACTATGTATCTGCTTGCGACCGGAATCGCCTTGACCGTGGCCTTAATTGTCATTTTGATAAGGTAAACAAATCCTTATTCCTTCGCAGGCAAAGTCACAATATGATTCTTAAATAAAACAGCATATAACTGAAACACTAGTGTGTCCCTAAAACGCATTTAAGCTCTGGTTTGTAGATACTGTCCGATAATAAGCCTAGAACTAAAAAAAGCGCTCCAGGTGAACTTTTCTCTTTGGGGGGGGGGGGGGGGGGGGGGAGGTGCGGGTTTCGTACTAATGATATGCGTGCCTTACATTTTGTGACATAAGCTGATTTAGTGTTATTTGATGATGACCAGAATTAGGTGTATTTTTCAAACACAGATTTTCATTTATAAATATGGATTAATTGCACAAAAGTAATTGAGTACCCGATATTACCGTACCCTATTTATTTAGAGTATTCGAGCGATTAGCTTTCTCAAGTGCTTTGGGCAAGGTTGATGCTCCGAAATGTTTACAGTGTATATATTATCTTCGTAATGTATATTATGTGAAGCAGTCATGCAGTCTTGATTTTTTAAAGAAGTCGAACCCCATTCTCTTTTGTAGGAAGAGAAAGAAAACCTTTAGTTACTTCAAGGACCTCGGAATATTTGGACCTGAGCCGAGTATTATTTGGGGAAACCTTGCAGAGTACCACAGAAATGTTAGTTACGTTCATTTGTATATGTTATTTCAAATAACCGTACCCTGTAAACAAAACGTGCGTTAGTTCATTTTGCTGCAAAACACGGAGGCAGCCGATCACGGCGAACAAATGGAGGATTCCCGCACATTTTGAACCTTGGAATACGATTGGACAGAAAACAACGCGATGTTTAGCAGGAGAATGGCCTTTCTCTCTCTCATTATCTCTGCGCACGTAACATTTGGTCAAATATAAACGTAATCTGATTTCGGTTACTCGCTGGGATCCTTTCGCTCTCCGCCGTTGTCAGCTGTCTTTAGGTGCTGAAGGAAAGTAGACTCAAAGTCTTCCTTTAGAGTGTCGGATTTGTTAAATAATTTCGCTGCCGTAAAAAAACAAAACAAAAAAACAACAACCTTAAAAGTAGGTAATCTAATACCTCTGTCAGACGTTAAAGTAAATGTCATTTTGATCGAATGTGATTCACCGCACGGCGAATCAGCTCGTGATACTGATTCTGCACGTGGCGCGAGCACGCGCAGCGTGGTGTATTAAACCCGCGGATTGGCCGAGCTGTAATGTCATTTTGTTAAAAGGTCATTTAACTTGCCCGTCTGACAGGGGTATAATACTGTTTCAGACCACTTTGAATGCCAGGCCCGAGTATACTCGGGCGCGTTCTCCCGTGGATTCTGTTTTGGTTCTCTCCCTACCCCTCCCAACTGAACAGCAATAGTTTTTTCTACGTATGAGCAAGCGATAAAAGACAATGGGTTATCTTCGGGTGTCAATTTTCGATTGCGTGCTTTGGCCGACTTCTATTTCCGTATGAGCCTTCATTGTTAAAATATGACGAATTTGTGTAGCTTTACCACGCGCCATATGGCGAACACTGATATACTGAAATTAGTAATAAACTCGGTATTCCATGACTACGAAAACTACTAAGTTACAGTTTCGAATGAACAAAGGCCCCGTGAGGTCGCTCAAAAGAGTGACCTCGAGGCGTGCTCGAAATGCCACTGCATAGTACCGTGTCTCGAAAAGCAGAATACGAGAAATATGGCCTAGGTTGGAGGCACACAGGCCTTAATTTACTTTATGAGCACACAATAGTCTGTCTCCTATAAATAAATATTTTTTTCACAGATTATGCTACAGCCTTACTCAGATCAAAATTTTCGTTCTGCATGTGTCGAGCCGTGCCCTAGCGTAGAGGTAGGGCACATCTTATTTGCCCACTCAAAATGTTAAGCTGTACTCTAGCGTAGAGCCTCTTCTGTATTGCTTAACCTCTTCGGCGTTTTCAGTAAACTACAGGTTCTCTCGAGAAAACCCAACCGCATTTTCTTGCCAATCGCTGGCATAAACGGCGCATCGTCTAAAGCTCAGCATACAGCTGTATCTAGGACCAACCGCTTGAATAACACGCCAATATTTCAGAACATAATTTCATTCCTGACAAAGCGTTTCATCAATACTGGAAAAGTTCCTATGCGAAGACTGCGACTCGCGAATCCCGGAAATGCACAATAGAAATAGTGGTGGCTGTCAAAAACAAAACTACTTTTTCCAGTGAAAATCGTTTCTGACAGTTTAATCAGGTGACATTAAGCGTTGAACCAGTGTCGTCTTGACCACGGTTCCTCTTTTCCTGTGCAGTCTGACAAATTCGCGTTGCAAGTATGTTTTCTTGGAGTGTTCAATTTCTCTGTAGTGTTTCGCATTTGCGACCCAGCAAATAATCACCTTAATGTATTGTGCCATTCCCTGATATAAGTTCGAAATGCTTTTGTTTCGAGGCTTTGCCTTACGAATCCAATATATGAGTTTAATGTTACTCATCCGACTGTGTTCTTTGTGCAGGGGCGTCACTATGCTTTGCAAGAGTGGTGTGATAAATACGGTAATATATTTGGGTAAGTGCAACGATTTCAAAGCAATAACGTTTTATTTATTACTTTAACATGCGAAGCAAGTGCCATGTTATAATTTTTATACTTTAATGGTTTTTGTACTTATAATTATGATATAGACTGTATAAATATAAGTTTTATTTGTAATGACTCGCAGGGTGGATTGTATACATTCATTCGTAGATATTTTGGAACCACTGAATGTTGATATCCTTACAGGTTTTACAACGGTGATGTTCCCATTCTCGTGATCAAGGACATTGGCTTTTTGGATTATGTTTTTGTGACAAACTTCAAAAACTTCGTGGACCGCGGGGTAAGTTGTTTTAGCCATGTTAAAAAAAAATAGAATCGGTCGATATAAATGAACCAAGGTTTATGACGTTTACTCAATATTCTGTAAGTCCATGAGGTCTTTGCCTTTCTGTACCAATATAGACCTAAAAAAGAGCAATATTTCTAAGTATTCAATAAGTAGAGCCCACGAATAGCGCAGTTGTCAGCATAGGATTTGTTTTTGTGAATACATAAATTATGACTAGAATTGAGACTGATGTAGGCGTTCTTTTTTATAACAACATAAGCGCCTTTAGAGCTATCATGAGCGAACATTATTACTACCTTATTCGTCTGACACACTTTGAAACCGAAGAGCGACAAAGGTTTTAAAGATAGGTTAGGAAGCCTAGTTTGTTATTTTTATTGATTACTTTATTTAATGGATGTGGGAATTTAGTTTGACAATTTATATTCATTAAAGGTAAAGAGAACTTACCAGGGATGTATATTCCTGTTTCCTTCTAGTGATTTGACAGTATTATTTTTGCTCCACCATAAACCCCCAAATGCATTCATTCACTGCATTCTTTTATCTTACTTTTTTAACCGTACGATATTACACGCGCCATTTTAAATATGCTCAGTTTTCTGCTCTATTTTAAATTTCGAGGGCACCGCAAGGTGCTGCCAATAAGCCAAATCGAAATGACGACGAAAGCACATCAAACAACAATGATTAATATCTTGACGGTGTGTATACCGATGAACAGCAAATTAATAATTTTATATGATGTCCTTGGAGTCGTGTAATTATAACAGACCCTTATATTTATAGGGGTAAATTTTAATCTAATCATCTTAAAAAACGCATGCCCATTTAAATTCTATAAGAACGTGCGTTTTTTTTTGTTAGCAACCAATATTTTAAAGTTAAGACGTTTGTTCCTACGAAAAGCAAACGTCCTGACACAGTCATTCTTTTATTGCGTCTTTTCAGATAGTTGTTTGTGGTTTACTTTCGTTTCATCCCCATTATGTCTCAGCCTCCGCGTGTGTATCTTTTTTTTTTTCGAACTTGTTTTTTAAACCTTTTTAAGACTACATAATTCGTCACAGACTTAACAGAAATAATTAAAATAAGATCATCGTTTTTTTAAAGCATTCTTAACGCGGCCCCCAATCCCAACATTTTGTCCGTCAGTCCGCCCGTTTTCCCGTCTCTGCATTTTCCCCTATGTTCAGCCGAAGAAGTGTGGTTACATGACGACGTCTGATGTCATGTGACCTATAGGTCAACTCAACTTCCCCGCTAAATTTAGCATGAAAATTGAGGCCTTGACACCAACTCACTTTCCCCGCCAAATTTAGCGGAGGAAAATCGACGGCACATAACCTGACGTCGCGTGCGTGACCTATACAACTGTTCGTTCAAAATATCCCGCTAAATTTAGTGCGAAGATATGCATCACGTGACAGACCAATTAACTCCCAAATTCTCTATAATGCGTTTTTCTACAATGTAAGACTTTGAAGGTAAATGTGGCTGCCATATTAAACGCAGCTCCTGGGCGACCGCTTCCGTGTTTAGCGACTTCGGCGTCGGCATCGCTGTAACCGCGCTAAATTTAGCGGGAAAATTGACGTTACGTCCCTTTAACACCAATTTCATTCCGGTAAATTTGGCGGGGAAATTCAGTTTCTTCGAAAGATTTGGCGGATAAATTCAGTTTCTTCGCTAGATGCAACGAACAAATTCAGTTTCTCCGTTAGATTTAGCAGGAAAATGTACGTCACATAATCTCAACAACAATTCGCTTGCCCGCTAGGAACTGAAATGGTGTTGAGGTCACGTGACGCCGATTTTCACGCTAAATCTAGCGGAGAAACTGAATATGTTCATAGGTGACCTGACACCACCAAGTCAGGCGACATCACTTTCCCCGCTCTATTTGGCTGGAAAGCTAAATTGGTATTCAGGTCAGGTTGCATCAATTTACAGCTAAATTTAGCGGAAAACTGGGAGGAGAGGGAGTATGAAGGAGGAGGAGGATGCGAGGGTACGCAGGACCAGGAGGGGAGTGTATGGAGGAGAAGGAGGAAATGAGGGGGAATCAGGAGGAGAGTAGGAGGAGGGGATAGAGGAGGGGGACGTGGTGGAAAGAAGAAGGGGAAGAGGTGAAGGTACGAGGGAGGGAAAAGGGCGTACCCTATCCTCCGTACCCTCCCCTTCTCCTCCTCGACAGCTGCACTCTAATTTCGCGTTACAGAGATTTGTAAACCTCTAATTTTTTTCTGATATAGTAGATCAGCTCTGCCTCTTTAAAACTTTCTAAAGACGCATACCAATGTCACTAGCAACTTAAAAAGCCAAGGGTGCGGGTCATTGTGATTGCGTTTCTTGCATCGTTATCCGTCCTTGTGCGTTCATATCGGCTAGTGTCGCAATCTGATTGGCTAAGGTGCAACAAAAAGATGCGGCAGCCTCACCGTACCCCTCGTTTTTTTTAACCTTGTCAAGTAGTTTACATAATAAACTTTCTATTCCAGGTTACAATGAGAACAGATCAGGTGCACCCTTCCCTTGGAGAGTCCTTGATTCACGCCAAGGGATCGCAATGGCGATTTCTTCGAAGCTGCCCCTCGCCGGAGTTTACTTCGCACAAACTGAAACAGGTATTTGGAGCAGAACTAGATTTCTTAGGTCTAGGTTATAAGAAACGATATCGCATAAGTCACGCGAAAGAAAAGACCATCGCTCTAAATTGAAACAAGGGATTACTAATCTAATATCGGAAATATTATTCAGTTTTGCCGCTTTCGTAAATAGACTAAGCAACAGAAGTTTTAACTCCGTCTGCCTATTACGATAGTGGTGGTAATTGAATCCGTATGTTTAAGAATACGACGCCACCTGGACAGGAAATAAAAAGAGAAAATAAAATTGTTCTGAACCGACGTTCACCTAGTCCTCTAACAAAGGAATGGCTCTGTTGGGGCGAGTGGTATTTCTTTCAGTGAACCGAATTTCTGCAAGGAGAACGTCCCGTCTTCTTTCTAAGTGAGACGAATATTTCATGAAAACAAATGTCGCGTTGCACATTTTTGAAAAACCGAAGACAACGGAGGAAAAAGGGGACAACACACGAAACGTCTCCTGGGCGTTTTGTGTGTTTTTCGTCCGTCGTCTCCGGTTTTTCAAAAATGTGCAACATCAACCAGCTTACCTGCCTACTCACTCTACCCTCAAATGTCACGTGCTTTCAAAGTGACGTTTTTGTGTCGACAAATATTCGGCTTACGTGGACCTCGGTTCACAAATAAATACCAATTTTTTTTTTTATCTTGCGATACAGGTGAAGTCCTCTCAAACTTTCGTACTCTATCATGATCGCTAGATTCATATCCGCGTGGCATTCGAACTTTTTATGTGAATCGATAAAAAGGGTGTTTCTTCTACTATCAGACCCTGTATTCTTACCTATATGACGCTGATATATATATATATATATATCACTGCGTTCTCTGTATATCACCCCTCCATTTCCATGTAGCAAAACTCGGAACGTCATCCCGAAAGCGAAGACCGTCTGTCTCTTCATCTTTATTTTCAGATGATGCCTTATCTCGTTGAGCAAGGAGACATCTTTATAAATCAACTTGACAAACTTGCCGGTGAAAGGAGAGAGGAATCAATGCTCGACGCTTTCCAAGCTCTTTCCATGGACTTCATATGTCGAGCCGCTTTCGGAATAGACACCGACTTTCAGCATAACAAGAAAAATCCTTTCTACGTCCAAGCTGAAGGTGTTATTCCCGGTATGATGAAAGGCCCTTTTCACGCCGTAGCACGTAAGATATACTTTTTTCCGGCATACGCACCTTGTTCCTCAATATTATATTTTAAGTGGCGGGCCGTGGCCAAAAATGTTTCGTCACTCGCACAAGTGCCGACGATAAGTAATTTCTTTTGGGTGACACTCTGAAGAGCAACTTAGTTTTTTTTCTACAAGAGAGAACCAGACCAGAAAATGCTCCAAATTAAGAGGTATATTTTATTTCGTGGGCAAATATTTCTTAAACTTACTTTTTTGATCGCGCCCAAGTCACCTAGTGGTGTTATGAGGATTATGTGTGTCCTTTGATTCCTTTTTTTTTTTTTTCCAGGGATTAATATCGCTATTCTTACCCAGTTCGTTTGCACCTTTGCAATAACAGCATCATTCTCATAACCTTAAAATGCATGCCGTTACTCTTTTGGTGTTAGCCTGGTTGCATCTGATACAACCCGTTTGCTCTACTGACAACTCCTGGCTAGCTCAGTCGTAGAGCGCTCCAATGGAAGTTGAGCGGTCCCTGCTTCGATACCACGAGCAGGCTTATTTTTTCGGTCACGCACCAGCCTCTATGCTGTGCTTGGAGATTTGTGTTTGTCCTTTCTCCCCCTTGTTTTTCTTCTCCAGGGATGAATATCGTTATTATTTTCCATCTCGCTTGCACCTCTGCATTAGTAACATTATCCTCAAGTACTTTTTTAAATACAGCTAAATTGCACCTGGTCGACAAGTCGCTTAAATTTCGAAAGTTTTAAAACATTAATTGAAAACAAGGGAGTGTGTTCGTGAATTAGATACGAAAACACGATAGAATAAAACATAGAGGACAAACCGTCCTTTATGTTTTATACCTTCATATATTCGTGTTTATTCGTATTCATGCCCGTTCTCTATTAATTATCGTTTCATGTATTCCTATTTAAAATATAGTGTTCTTTTGCGATGACCGGGAACTTGTTTTTTTATTTATTAAAATCGTTCGATAATAAAATATTCCCACTCTGTCCCTGCACCCGTGTTCAAACCTTTTAACACACCAATATCGCAACGGAATATCCTTTCACCTCAAATTTTGTATCATTTCTGGCAAACCTCAAATATCTTTACCTGTATCATTACCGAGCTATCAGCACTTCAAGAGCACGTAACATGAAAATTGAATGAAATAATGAATGAGCGAGTGAGTGAATAAATGACAGTAAACACATTCTAGAAAAAAATTTCAATCAAAAATAGGTTAAAAATTTATGCGGCTATGTACACTGTAAATTATTTACAGACGGCTTTTTTAAAGAAAAAATGAGTTGTATATAGCCTTGTAAAATCATAACTTTCTGTCGATATCTACTTTTGCTCCAATTTCCTTTCTCAGAGTGCACGACAACACTTGGAGGATTTATCAAACCATTATCATGGCTTAATCGTATACTCGGAAGTTTCACCATGGAAATATTTGCTCAAGAGATGAAGATGGTTGTAAGACTGAGAACGCAAAATCTTGGTGTATGTGTTTCTTTTTCTTGCATTTATATCTGTAATTGTCAAACCAAAGGTTCGAATTGTGTTTAAAGAGAACCGAATAGAGGTTTGTGATATTTTATCAAGAACGTTTATTGTAATGACATTAAATGTGAAGGTACCACTGTTTGCCATTTTAATATATGCTGAAAGTTTAACTATACTTCAGAAGTTTTTAGAGTATGTTTCTAGTTATCAGCAAGATAATAGGGTTGCGAAACTGAGAACACTAAATCTTGCGGCATGTGTTCCTTTTTCTCGGTATATGTATAATGTTATAAAGTTGTCATGCCACAGGTTACCATTTGTTTTAACTACCAAAATGGAGGGTTGTGGTTTTTAAATGATAACGTTTACAGAATTAAAATCAAATTGACAGAGAAATCTCTTAGTTATTTTAATCTCGCCGTTAATATCTAGACGATGTTCGACAACTGATCGTGATGTGTTTGCCATTATCACTGAGTTTGCGACTGGACTCCAAATGTGCTTAGGGCTTAAAAATTTAGTGTATTTTTGCCATATTTGAGACAGTAAACCGCTGAACTATTAACAAAAAAATTACCCTTGCACCGTCGACCCTTTGCTTACTAAATTTTCATATGCTAAATCATCCTTTGATATATTGGTACTAATAGAAAGGTTTGGTTTCGCACATCATTAAGAAATTGCAGGTCAACTTCTTCACTTATATTTAGGATCGTTCCAAATGTAAAACTCTATTTTTTAAACTAAGTATTACCCATGTTTCTTAGTTTAGTCATGTATAACCTCTTAAATATTTTATATGCATTTTTATATAGATTGTCTTTTTTTCCTGTGTAGCGTTTTCTACGTAGGTGTAATATATAGAGCACCTGCAATTATCGGCGATATTTCTTCCAGATACAAAGAAATGATATGTTGCAACATTTCTTGGAAGTGGAAGTGATTAACAAGCACCCCTTCAATAAAATCGCATTGATGAACGCCAAAAGCTCAGAGGGTAAAATATAATTTTTATTTTTGATAGATAGTTCAAAGAGCAATGACCTTTGTCGGACAATTCAACATTAGAGTTCTTAAAATATAGAGGGAAATTTTTACGACACGAAATAAATGAGGAATGTGGCTCTGTCAATTTGATCTTACACTACATTCTTAAAGGGGCCCTGCAACCATATTTAAGCGGCTACCTTTTTTGCGGTTTCCACGTCTCTTGGGGTTCGGGCAAGCCAGCGGGCACGGAGAGAGTAACTAAATATCAGTGCGTCATATTTTAACCGGACGACGCAGAAACATCCTCCGCCTACGGGTGCGACCCACGGTGCCAAAGCGCGCGATATACGACGTCTTTGGTCCTGGGCTTACTACTGGTCAGAACCGCTAAAATCTTTTTTTTAGTCGATATACAAAATATAAGTGTCGTGAACCGTTTCAATTATGTATGAAAGTAGTTTTTGCTCAGTATTTGAGATCATATAAGAAACAAATGCGGTTTATAAAGTAGGGAAAGAAGAAATGACCCATCGACATACCCGCGACCAAGCGGCGGAAAAAATGGCGCATATAGATAGGGCTAGTGGGATAAGGCGTCAACGAATGGCGAGCATAGAAAGGTCCCGGATCTACGCGGCGGCGCTGCGGTTCTCTAGACCGTTTTACTGAAAAAGGGCGAGAGAGAAAAGGGGAAAGGGCTACCGGCGCTTTCCTCCTTTCTGGTTGTGTAGAAAGGGTGAAAGTCCCGGGGATGAGAGGCTTGGCCGGTGCTGGGTGTCTGCTGTGCCCCAACTTCGTTCGCGCTTTCTTTTCTGTTTTGAACTCGCAAACTTAATTAGACTAACGAGATTCGATGGTAACAGTCCCCCGGTCATCGGGACACCATTGCTCGGTCATAGGATGCACGAATAACGACAGAAAGTTTCGAATACTGCCCGAGGACCTATGTAGCTTGCAAGGAACCCGGCAAGGCGAGAGCGGCTGCAATGTCTTTAAGCTCCATCGCTTTCCACATGACCCCGGTCTTGGCGGCAGTGGATTGCGTCCGTAAACCGAAAAGACATTTCCTCAACACCATCCTCTCGACTGTGCTCGGAACATCTTGTGAATGGAGCGCGCACCGAACGCTGTACTGCCGATGAACATGGGGTACGCTCGCAAGGTGCGTGCCAGTTTTCTCGTGATATTTGCTGTTTCAGCTTGTAAAATTTTATAAATGAATTTATCTTAATATTGATAATTTGCAGTGGTGACTGACGCGATTTCATCACTTACAACACTTAGCTGAAGGCTTATTTCCGCCGCCGGGTGAGGCTAGACATTGTTGAAAAGGTAGTTCTATCAGTTGTCCTGAATCGCGATCTCCTGCGCAATACCAGAGAGCCGGCAAAAACGCTCCTTAGATTGCCACTGGTGGGTTGTTTCCGTTGTTTGGGCGCTTCGAAGAGCTGGATAGTCACTGCAGATTACGTCTCGTGTGTTGCGATCTGCGTCTTCGAGCCCAGTGTGCACGTTTCTTTGTTCTAGTCATGGCATCCGTCAGTGCGGCAAGGGGGGGAATAGCGGCAGCGAACGTGTCAGTGATAGAAATTGGAGGTTAGTACTCAAAATATTTCATCAAATAGTAAAATAATTCGTGGCTGCGTTGAGGCTTTCTGCAATTCGATATAAGCACATCTAGAACGTCTTCGTCGTTCATCCACAATGAAATATAAGAACACGGACACGCAAGATAAAAGCAGCGCAGCAAAATGATCTGTAGCAGCTCCGGGTGTTTACAAAAGTTAATTCAGGTTCCCGTTTTGTGTATCGCTTGTTCATTACTAAAAACGGCTACGTTGAAATGGGCCTATTGCAAGCAAAAATTTATGAATGGTTCACCATTTCCAGTCATCCGGAAAGCGGTGAAGCTTCAAAACATTGCAGCCGCACTTGCCTTGCCGGATTCCATGCAAGCTACGAGGTCCTTGGGCAGTATTCGACGCTTTCTGTCATTATTCGTGCACCCTATGACCGAGCAATGGTGTCCCGATGACCGGGGGACTGTTGCCATTGAAGCCCGTGGCTCTAATTAAGTTTGCGAGTTCAAAACAGGAAAGAAAGCGCGAACGAAGTTGGGGCACAGCAAACACCCAACACCGGCCAAGCCTCTCATCCGGGACTTTCACTCTTTCTACACAACCAGAAAGGGGGAAAGCATCGGTAGCCCTTTCCCCTTGTCTTTCTCGCTCTCAAAGTGGCGCTACCCACGATAAAACGGTCTATACCGGCTCCAGGATCCGACCGGTTTCGAGCTTTCCGAAGGCTTTCGGCACGGGCTTGACTGGCGATTTTGCCATTTGGCGGTATGGCAGCGCAAAGTGGCTCCCGACCTGAACTGATATTTACTCCGTGTTTGCTGTCGTTTGTTGCCAATGAAGTGTTATGCCGAATCAGTCTTCAATCGTGCAGCAATGCAACGCGAGCCGCCCTAGCCACCCGCTTCATAGAGCCTGTAGAATATTTGTATGAACTTACATGTTTCAGTGAAGACAAAGAAAAGGACAAATACTTGATCGCGAAATTTAGAAACGGAATGAAGAGGAGGATGAAGACGTGATCGCAAAGAAACGCCTCAACGGACCTCAACGTATTCCAAATGTAAATATTGTATATAAAACCCTTTGATTACTCCTCCTGTACCGATATTTTACAAAAAAACATGGTGCCGAAACCCGGGAAATAACGAAAAAAACGATGGAAAGGCTCAAGAGAAGACGAGGAGTAATACGGTCCACTGTTACCAAGCTTGTCAAATACATTTCCTCGGCATTAGAGCTGACTCCGCTACCAGAAGGTGAAATAGAAGGGAAGCTCAACTTCCTCACATTGAAAGAAACGTCGCTACACCAACTAGGTGCGGAGATCGCAGACCTCATTGACCAGAACGAAATAGAAGAAGAAACACAAACCTGTACCACGTACGAAGAGACTATAAGCAACATTAAAACAAGAACGGCCCGAGCGTTACGAAAACAGCACTACAAAGAAAGAGTTTTTTCTAACAACGACACTGAAGCAAATGACCCTAGAGAACGTCAAGCAAGTGGACCTAACGTCAAGCTTCCACGACTAGAACTTCCAAAAAACAACGGAGATCTGGAAGACTGGCAAACGTTTTGGGACCAGTTTCAGTCCTCTATAGACCACAATCCAACACTGTCTCCAGTCGACAAGTTCAAATATCGGAAGATCTACCTGGTCGGAAAAGCCGATGCTGCTGTCAAGGGGATTCCCGTGACCAGTGACAATTACAGCGTTGCGATTGAACTCTTAAAGAGAAGATTCGGTCAGCCCACTGTGATAGTTAATAACCATCTTTCCCACCTTATGGACACCAAACCAATAAGATCCTCAGAGGACACAGAGGGACTCAGGAAACTCCATGATGACGTAGTGACAAGGATCAGGAGCCTACAAAGCCAAGGAGTGAATGTACATTCTTACGGTGTTCTTCTGCATACCGTACTCTAAAGAGCCCTCCCTTCTGATCTTCTGCTGAGGTACAACCGGAAGTTGGACGCCAAAGGGCCTTCAGGGGACGGGGAAGACGATCTCACAGTGCTTCTTGCATTCCTTGATGCTGAAGTTATAACAAGGGAGAAGTGCTTTCAACTCTCCACACACTCTTCAAAAGAAAAGTTCCGTCCATCACAAGGGTCTATTGTTGACAAGATAAGTTCTGCATCGGCTCTCCCTACACTAGAAAAAGTTAGCGTCCACTGCTGTGTTTTCTGTGGCTCTGGTGACCACCCGCTGCAGGAATGTACGACACACCTGACATTACTAGAGAAGAAAGAGAAACTTAAACTTGACAACAGATGTTTTCGATGTGGAAAACAATTTCACAGAGGAAGAGAGTGTCGAAGCGCACGAACGCTTTCTTGCGCGAGTTGCGGCGGCAGACACTTCACAGTGTTGTGTGATCCAGAATGGGCTGCACTCCGACCATCACCTAACGTTCCTGGAGGGCCTTCGCAGTTCATCGGGATATCTAGGGCGGGATCAAGTAGCCCCCAACAAGTGTTACTTCAGACTGTTAAAGTACTAGCTAAGGGTCAAATTGAGACAACACTTCGAATCCTGATCGATGGGGGGAGCCAGCGTTCCTTTGTAAAACGGACTGTCTCAGAAAAGCTCCGTTGCCGACCCGTCGGTGAAGAAGACCTCACCATTTTCGCCTTCGGTGACTCTGCACAAGGAACGAAAAGAAGGTGTCGCCGAGTCGAGATTCTTCTGAAAAGCCATCACAGCAGAGCACAGATTGTCATAGAGGCCTTGGAAGTCCCCGAGATTTGTGGAGAAATTCTCTGCGTAACAGACACCAGCCTCATACAAAATCTACAGTCGAAGGGTATGACTCTGGCGGACCTTCCCTTAAAGAACGAAAAACCAGAACCTGGAGTGAACATTGTCATCCGGTCTGATTATTATTGGAAAGTAACGACTGGGAGTGTCAAACGTATCAACTCATCTCTAGCTGCTGTGGAGACCATATTTGGCTGGTCTTTGCAAGGTCCCGTAAAAGTGAGTAACGCCTCTAATTTATGTACCGCCACTGCTATGTTCACGATGAGCGTTGGCGAGGCATCTAAAGACATCTGTTTAGAACTGTGCAAATTTTGGGAACTAGAAAGTCTGGGAATTAGGGACTCCCCATCGAAGGACCAAGAGTGTGGCTCTTTTCTGTATTTACTAAAATCGTTCAACTCCTCCGTGAAGAAGATAGACGGAAGATACGAAGCCCGGCTATTGTGGAAGTCCCCTGAACCTCTGTTACAAGACAATAAGGATGTTGCAGAAACTCGCTTAGCTGCATTGCTCAGAAAACTACGTAGAGATGACTGTCTGCTCATGCAATATGACAAGGCTGTGAGGGAGTACCTTATTAAAGGGTTCGCCGAACGAGTCCAACCAGATGATGACGAGGAACACAGTGAAAAAACGTATTACTTGCCCCACAGAGCCGTGATAAAAAA